AGTAAGTAACTAGTTAGTCTTGGTTGGCTGGCTTAGGGCCTTGGGAGGAGCGGAAGGCTGCCAAGGGACGGCGACGGCAGAGAAGCAAGACGGAAGAGTAGAAGAAAAAGAAGCAGAAGTAGTAGTAGTAGAAGAAGAAGAAGAAGAGTAGAAGAAGAGTAAAAGAGAAGAGAAAGACGAGAGTCGCAGTGCAAAGTCGCAGCGAAGATGGCAGCATGCTGACTACTGACTACTGACTATGGCGCGGTACTTTGCGGCTGGGCGGGCGTCTGGTGCGGGCGCAGGTACCTCTGCATGGCAACTAGTTATGCGACAGCCAGGACAGCCAACGAGATAGCCAAAGTGACAGCCAGAGAGACAGCCAGAGAGACAGCGAGCCAACGAGCCAACGACGACCCCCCCCTGGCCTGCCATGCCTGTCGGCCTACACATGGCAAGGGAAAAAGTCGCTTACTTGGGCCGTCTTAACTTCCGCTAGTTCTGCGTGTCTCTCGTACTTTTACTGGGGGGCCACCATATCTTCCGAGGGCGACACAGGCAGACACCCGAGCAGAGTTACTCTTGAAGTCATCCCGCCGGACAGCGAGTTAACCATTATTATTAGATACTACGGGCAGTCGAGGAGTGACGGCATCGATGACAGGCGCCTGTGCGATCGTGACACCGTTCGCCGAATGACAGACGGCATCAGCAGGCAGACGAGCGACTTGGGCTTCTCTCTTCCCCCTTTCCATCTGCCTGCCCCTTGTCGTCTTGTCACGAAAGAAGCTGCCAGACAAGCTCCGGGCGAAGCCTCCCTCCTTCTTGGTCCTCTTAGCTTCTCTTGACTTGACTTTCTAGTGCTGGTGCTGGTGCTGGTGCTGGTGGTGCAAGGCTTGCGGCCTCCTCTCCCTGCCACCCCCTACGCCCTCCTCCTGCCTCAGTCTACTTACATCTAACGAGTTATCCCACGCTGTCAGGGTCTGGTCTGCCTCCTCGTCCCTCCTCCGTTAACTCCAGAGTGGCTCCCTTCGACTCCTCTTTGCTCCTCCCTGGCGCGGGCGGCTTCCACCTGGGCACTCTCCATCCGCCCATCCCTGTCGTGTTCCGGCATGCGTCCCCCTCCCAGGCGATTGGCGAAGAGATCCCGCACCCACCAGCAGGCCAAACGCTCCCGGCCACGACAAAAAAGCGTATCTGTTCTATAGTTATATATACTGACTTAATAATATATCTCGCCAGGGAGAAAAGTTGCTTTCGATCGTCGGTGGAGGACAGAGTTCTTCTGGAAGCAGAGGCGAAGGGGGGAGGGTGGGAAAGAGGCCAAAGCAAGCGACGATCCACGTGGGAAAGGAGGTCGGGGCCCAGGGATCATCCTTGTCCCATAACACAGGGCGTTATTTGTGGGAGTCGAGGATGCAGCCAGCTTGGGGGGGACGGGAGGGGAGGTCGGAGTTGCGTGGAACAGCGGGCGTCCCAGTGCAAGGTGGCAGCTCTAGTTACCGCTCATATTTTATGATAGATCTACAGGTGAGTTAGTTATAATATATAGTACTCCGTATCAAGATAGAGATGTAGACTCTCGATACCTACTCTCTGTTCAAAGCGCCGTTAATATTGGAATTTAGTTATATGCTCCACATGTTCATTCTACTCCGCTCCTTACTCGATGCAGTTATTGCTCGTTATACAGCGAGGTTGCACATCCTCCTGGCCTGTCTCTCTAGATTCGGTGCCAGCAAAGTGATACAGCCGGGCCTCCCTCCCTCCCTACTTCCCCGTTGGCCCATGGGGGGCCTCCGAGCTTGGGATCTTAGAAGGATGCCTGCCCTGTCTGACGTCGGTTAGTTATATGATGTCATGTCCAGCCAGAGACCGTGGGCACACCGTATCAAGTTTCCAACTCAACCATAGAACCACGGGATATACACTGTCATCTATATACCAATCTACAATCTACTCAAAGAGAAAGACCCTCTCTACATCTCCTATACATCTATCTCCATCACTCTCGTAGTTCACAAAGTAAGCCCGACGCCCTCACCAGCTCGACCCATCCTATCCTGCCTCCTCCCTAACCGACCCTCGTACTCCCCTGATACACCCCGTCATACCCTTCCACCGGCTCGCTCATCTGGTGGAACACAAACTGGCCCAGCCTCGCTTCCTTATACACCCGCAGACCCGCCGGGTTCACCACCTGTAACATCGCACCCACAGCTCCCGTATACCCGGCATCCATCACCCCAGCACTCAGCAGCGCGCCAGACCTGAACAGCGAGCTGCGCACAAACAGCTGACCCATCACATCAAGCGGCACAGAGACCGTTTCGTTGAACTCGACCAGATACGAGCCAGGTGGCAGGTCTATCATCATTGCTTCATGGTCATCGTCGTCATCGTTGTCGTCGTCGTTGTCGTCGTCGTCGTCTTTTCTGCCGCTACTACTGCTAGAGCTAGACTTGGTCTTGGTAAAGGGTATTTCCTTCGTAGAGGCTGGTTGGCGGTGCGAGTTATCAAGGTCGACGGTGCCGGCAGAGGTCCAGGTCAGCACTCTCTTCAGGGTGAGGTCAACGCCGCAGGGCTGGACTTGTAGGGAAGGGGAGACCAGGCCGTTAATGATCTTGCGAGACACAAGAGCGTGTCCTGGTAGGATCATGTTTAATTATTCCGACCCAAGAGCTCACATATAAAAAGATATAATCCGTATGTATATCCATTGCTTTTGGTTGACGTTGGATTTTGATCACTTGTTTGAGTTACCTAGGGCATATAAAGAACTGGTGCTCAGGTCAGACAACAACCATCCTTAGTGGTGTAGAGGTAACATAACTCTCTTTCACAGAGTCGCCCGGGGTTCGATTCCCCGCTAGGGAGAAAATTCTTTTTTTATTTTTTTTTCTCTTCGTTTGGCTCACTGATTATGTAATTGTTGTCTTTCACTCACAGTTCCCTCCTACAAATAAATAGACCAACAAATAACACACATACAGATGACATATAGAGAGATGATAATACGTACTGGTTAAGATCACTTAAAAACAATAGAGTACTTTATGAGTGATATTGTAAATTGCTTGTATCCATCATGTGTCTACTTATATATAATCTTGCAACTCGAAGACGTCAATTTTAAGTACATCACGTGGACGACACCTTCGAAGGGACTTTGGTTGGTTGTTATATTGATGAGACAACCGTAATAATAAGGTCATCTTTATACATCGAGACAAAAGGGATGATGACAGTGTGATAGTGGATAAAGGCTTGCAGAAGGTAGATAGTGATGCAATACTCCGTACCAGTCTTTTGTAATGCGGAGCAAAAAAAAAAGAGAGAGAGAATGCCATGATCGATGTAGATACATACTAACTGACGAGAGCATTAAAAAAAGATAAAAATCAAATTTGAATGCGCTCCCTAGCGGGGAATCGAACCCCGGGCACGAGTGTGAGAGACTCGGATGTTACCTCTACACCACTAAGGATGGCTTGTTGTGGGCAAGGCTCGCCAAAATGGCAGATGAGCAGAAGTGGGTAGATTCAAATGTCGGAAGTCAAAAAAAAAAAAAAAATAATGCCAAGACATATTTGTCTCCACTCTCGCGGTAAAATGGGCGGCCGGAGTCAAGAGACCAGTGGTGAGTGGACTTGGGAATGGATATTCATTATATAAAAAAATATTACTCCCTAGCGGGGAATCGAGCCCCGGGCGACTCTGTGAAAGAGAGTTATGTTACCTCTACACCACTAAGGACTTTTCATTATGTAAGTGAATCCTTCACGAGCAATAAAAGGCTATTTATGCAATAGGCTATTGCTCGTGTGAAGACATGTCTGATATCATGTATGTACGCTCTACTGCCCCCTCCTTACATATTTTATATTCTACACCGAGTACATCCATAGATACTATTGCCGTATATATCAAGGTAATAGCGACCTTCTCTTGTGGTTAAATAAATATGAGGGCACGCTACTAGCTGATCATGCCAACATATATTCGTGTAGTTATAGTTATGGACACAAATTTCGTCTAACATGGGATGTCAACCAACCAATTACTGGACATAGAACTAATGAATACCAAAGTAACTAACAGCTGGAAAGCCATCTATCTAGCTTTACCTCGGATTCATTTTCTCATTATTCTCCTTCAGTGAAGCAGTAAGATATGCCTTTTGATAGTAGATATATTCTGCCCGGAAGTAATATGCGAGTGATAGATAATCTACTTCGCCATGCAACTGGTTCCTATATTGTAGCTCGAGGTAGCTTTCTCCGGCATCCGCTGATAGTTACCTTCTAAAATTAATATTAGAGGAATGTGACTGTGTCTCTAATTGTGAGGAGGAATTGTTTCAATCGCCTTGAAGTTGTGGACCTATATGTCAGGAACATAGGGTGTCGCCTAAGCTATAAATGCCACATATCCAAGGAGAAGTCCCAGCCATCTATCTATTTTCTCTTCCTTCCTCCGGTGCTACTGAAATTAGTCTGATTGTTAATCATGAAACATAGCTTTTCCCTTTACCCTTCTTCCTCCCTAGCCAACCCAGTAGGTGCGTCCAAGACCTGCTGTTGGTGGCTTCCCACCTCTATGAAGCAGCACAGCCTCACCCTTCCATCCAGCCATCCTTAGTGGTGTAGAGGTAACATCCGAGTCTCTCACACTCGTGCCCGGGGTTCGATTCCCCGCTAGGGAGCGCATTTATTTCTTTTTTTATTTTATTGTATTTTTTTCGGCAGCGGATTTTGCTGGCGGAGATTCTATTCTCCGTGTATTGACGCTTGAACTACATGAAAAATATGAGTCAAAGGCAGTCTTGCAGTCTATAAAACAGTCATTTAGGCCCTCAATTCCTTCGTTTTCCTCCCTTCTTTCTATATCGTTTTGGATGCTGTGCCAGCGGGTTCTGCGGGTTTTTGGCTGCCGTCGACTGTCCGTTCGAGCCCTCCCCTCCATCCCAACTCTAAACTCCGGTAGAGACCCCTCCATCTTCGCACAACGCTGCTCGTCTTCTTCCTCTCGCCGATATCACGACCACTCGCACCCTCCAGACCAGCTAGACACCATGGCGCCCAAGGGAAAGAACTCGTTTACCCTCAAGACGCCCAAGGGGACCAAGGACTGGTCTGGCCCTGATGCCCTGCTACGCGACAACATCTTCAGCACCATTACCAATGTCTTCAAGCGTCACGGTGGCATGGCGCTTGACACACCTGTCTTTGAGCTGCGCGAGATCCTGGCGGGCAAGTACGGCGAGGATTCGAAGCTGATATACGACCTGCAGGACCAGGGCGGAGAGATATGCTCGCTGCGATATGACTTGACCGTCCCCTTTGCACGATGGCTGGCCATGAATCCGGATGTGCGCAACATAAAACGATACCACTTGGCCAAGGTGTACAGACGAGATCAGCCAGCTATGACAAAGGGACGGATGAGAGAGTTCTACCAGTGCGACTTTGACATTGCCGGCGCAAAGTTTGACCCCATGGTTGCGGACTCGGAGGTGCTTAAGATTGTCACCGAAGTGTTCGAGGACCTGGGATGGAAGGGGAAATATACGATTAAAGTTAACCACCGAAAGATTTTGGATGGTCTGTTTGAGGTGTGTGGTGTACCTCAGGATAAAATACGGACCATCTCCAGCGCGGTGGACAAGCTGGACAAACTAACCTGGGAGGACGTCAGGAAGGAAATGGTGGATGAAAAGGGCCTCGATGGTGCCGTAGCTGATAGCATTCAAACATATGTTGTTCGAAAGGGCGGACGAGACCTCCTTGAATCATTGCTGACAGATGAGAAACTCACTGCCAACGCCTCTGCCAAAGCCGGCTTGGATGACATGGCCTTGTTGCTTGAATACCTTGAAGACTTTGGCGTGGTAGACAAGATCTCCTTCGATATGAGTCTTGCTCGTGGTCTTGATTATTACACCGGTCTTATTTACGAGGTCATCACTGAAGGCTCAGCGCCTGCAACTGCTACCTCTGCCCCTGAAGCCCAAGCCCTGCAACGCTCCTCGAAGAAGGACAAGAAAGTAGACCCTGATGAGGACAGATCTAATGATCCTTCTGTTGGCGTCGGTAGTGTTGCTGCTGGAGGGCGATACGATGACCTAGTCGGCATGTTCTCGCCAAAGGCCCAGATACCGTGTGTCGGAGTATCGTTCGGTGTTGATCGAATCTTCTCCATCACCAAAGCTCGCATGCAGCGTGAGAGCAATGCAAATGCTCTACGGAGCAGTGAGGTGGATGTATACGTTATGGCGTTTGGCGGCAAGGGATTCACAGGATTACTGAAGGAGCGAATGCAGATCTGCAGGTCACTTTGGGAGGCCGGTATCAAGGTAAGCCTATACAAAAACTTCTTTCTTTATTTTTTTGAATATATTCTAACGTTAAATGTCCAGGCTGAATTCTCATATAAAGTCAAACCAAAACTTCCCGCTCAATTCAAAGCTGCTGAAACCAATGGCATCCCCTTCGCCGTTATTCTAGGTGAAGATGAGCTTGCTGCTGGGCAAGTCCGCGTCAAGGAGATGGGTCTTCCAGATGGCCACCCCGAGAAGGAAGGCGTGCTGGTTGACGTCGACTCTCTTACGACTGAAATCAAGCAAAGGCTGGAGAAGAAGGCGAGCGGGGCTGATGCACCTGCAGAAGCACCAGTAGATGAGCCAGCGGACCTAGCCCAGAAAGTAAAGGATCTGTTGTAGGTGGGAGGAAAGGGAGGAAGATGATGAAATATTTTAAAATTATTCCTTTCGAGGGGTGAATGCATTTCTGGAATTTTTCAAGGGTGCATGGACGCAAGGATGTATTGTTTATTTATTGCTTTATCGGGATACCACCTTCTGCTTACTGCCTTTGCGGATAGACTAGAAGCTTTTACTTCTTGTTTTAAATATTTATAAACCCTTATAAATATCTGCAAAAACTCTGTGCTTGACAACGTTTTGCCCAAGACAATGAATATGGTGGGGTTTAGAAACTGTAAATTGTAATTGTAAAAATCATATATTGGTACAGTGTGCAAGGATATCTACCTTGAATTTTTTATTAATACATGATAGAAAATGTGTTCAAGCAGTTGAAGCTCGCTTCATGATAACCTCCTTCAACGCCGAAAGGCTATTCACAGCGCTTAGACCAACACCTCTTGCCCATGCAAACGGCCCGTAGCCAGGAACGTTATAGGCTTTGTGCAGAAGGTCACAGGCTCCTCCAATCCCAGCGTTAGTTATCCATCTATCAGCTGCATATTGTTCCAAGCTAAGCAAAGAGCCAATATCCATTCCGTGCTGCACAGCATATTCAATCGCGCGATGGAGAGAAATTACGTCGCCGACCCCAAGGTTCAACCCCAGTCCTCCAAGAGGGTGTATGACGTGAGCTGCATCTCCGACTAGTGCCACTCGAGGTGAAATGTAAGTTGATGCATGGCGGAAGCGCAATGGGAAGCCAGCGACTGTGTTCGAGTGAACCGTTTCAACTTCTGGCGGCACATATGATGGGACAGGGGTATGCTGGAGCCGCCAGGATAACTCGTCTGCGTGGCCATAGATTGTCTCAGAGGATGTTTGGTTTGGGCTAGACGGTAAGGAGAACATGTATTTCAGGTCTGTTATGGATAGGCGGAAAGCAGCATTTACCATTGCTGTAAATGCTTCTGGGGATAGTGACTTGAGGTATGCAGCATTCTGCACGGTGGTTGACCAGACAAGTGTAGCAAAGTTGTTAGGTAGAGGAAGCATGGCAACCGGACCACCAATTCCTGGAAGAAACCGCTGATATGCAGTTACCGGTCTGGATGAAGAGGCTGCTGAGTGGGAGAGCTTCAGGGTAGCAACAACACCATGTCGGTCATAATCCCATCCATCCGTCGAGATACCGGCAAATGATCGAACAGGACTATTAATTCCGTCTGCTCCAACTAAAAGACGAGCGGCAATGGTAGGAAGCTTGGAAGTGGTTTCCGTCGAAGATGAAGGAGATAAGGTGAGAACCGGCCAGGCCGAAAGATCGGGTCCATCGGGAATATCAGTGCCGTTATTGATAGATGTGACCTTTGTCGAAGAGAAAATAGAGACATCATTACCAAGAGACTCGATTCGTGTCAGTAGACCTCGTATTAGATTCGCATTCTCAGTCATGGTCGCAATTGTCTTTGAAGAAGCATCGTGATCGATCAGGCCGGGGGGCCAATTGAATGAAATATTCGACCCCGTCACTCCATCCCACACTTCCATTTCCTCATATGGCTGCACTCGAGAGGAATCAATATGTTGCCAGGCGCCGATACTTTTCAGGAATGCCACAGATGACGGTGTGAGACTGCTAACACGGTTGGAAAAGTTCTCAGAGTCGAGGTTCCAGCTTTTGGCCTTGGTGATGTCCTGGCTCTCGACGAGGGCGACTTTGAGCTTGGAGGTAATTGGAGAGGATCCTAAGTATCACATATTAGTTGACTGGACGATTCGAAGCTGTAACCTGGGGTGCCATTGGTACAGGTGAACGTACTTAATGCTGTTAACAGAGCTAACCCTGCCGGACCCCCTCCAACACAGACAATGTCATAGATGTCAGGCTGTTGCGAAAGGCTGGAGGCGAATCTCCTCCGCTGTGCCTGAAGCCCACGTTTACACGACGTGCATATATATGGGCGCAATGCGCCACCTAGTAGCGAGCGCATCACGATAGCTGATTATCACAGGGTGCTGTTGATGTTTGATAGGTATGTGAATGAAGCTATGGAAGTTCCTTGTTCGATCAAGGTTCAGGCCGACATTCTTAGTCAGCTCTTAGTCATCACCTCACGCAACAGACGACCAAAAAAAAAAAGGAAAAAAGAAAAGTGACAAGGGTGGGATTCGAACCCACGCCCTCAAGGAGGACCAGAATATCTTGGGTGGTGATCACCGCTGATTATTACTGATTAAGGTTAGCCTTAATCTGGCGCCTTAGACCGCTCGGCCACCTTGCCTGTTCATGTCTATCACGTGGAGTCGTCGACGCCTTGAACCTCACCCATATCTATAAGATATGGCCAACAGCTTTTTACTAGGGAAGTAACTACAAACACATTGGAATGGCATGATAATTCATTGAAACTGATATATTAAGCAGCAACTGAGAACTTTTCTAGCCATGATATGGCTTGCACCGTCCCTATTCAATGGCTGAACCTCCTAATTTCCATCGCTCCATAGAGAGGATACCATTTCAAGGTGCCATACGAGAATGCCAGCGTTCTAATAACAGTGGCAGATACTAGACGGATATGTCAGTAACGAAGCTGCATTTAATAACCTGGAGTGGTCAGTGTTCTTACTTTGATCTGCCAGGGCTGGGGCATCTAGCTCGTCCTCTGAAGCCCATGCTCGCACACTACGGATTATGAGTTAGCCTTCCGGTAACAGGTATAGTGATGATGAGGAGGAGAGTGAATGTCATCTTACGCCTGGGGTGCAATCGGAATCCCGATAACAGATACCGCTAACAGGAATAATTGCTATGGGTAAATCAGCCTGGCCCTCAGCTGCAGCCTCGGCTCTGGCAGCAATCGGTACACTAGCAACGGCAGCAACAGCAGTCTGGCCAAGGATGGCGAGAGCTGCGAGAAGGGAGCAGGAGAGCTTCATGTTGGAATAGCCGGCAGCTCAATTGCAGCGAGATAAAGATTATAAGTCTCAGAGGATTGAATGGGTTGGATTGGAAGAGATGGTTCTTGGAAATGAAAGGCCATCATGATGGACACATACTAATATTTATACCCGGTAGAAGGCCAGCAGTCATTGAAGCAGGCAAGCAAGCAAGCAGTCATCAACTACTGTGTCTGCTCTTTGTCTGTATGTGCATTCGTATCCTCTGGCTAATGTATCTTTCGTTGCACTACGTCTCCTGTGTAGGTTGAGAGTGTGCCACACGAGTATCTGTCCTCTGAATTGCGTCTTCACCACCAAATGCGGTCCTTCGGTAGGACTTTGACCGAATAATATGACATAAAGATACACCGTTAGCATATTCTGTTTTACGCAACCGTCGCAGCATTGCTATACGGATCACCGCCGCGCCTTTGCCATATTCTATATGCAGAAATGGCAGATATTGGTACATGCCAATTGGCGATCAGATGAATGTGATCACAGTGTGGTGAGATCAATTGAGTCTTCAAAATGGCTAAAAATAATGTATAGATAGCAGTCAAAACAATGTGCTAGATCTAGCGGCTGGATATCCTCCTGTAGGCCACTACGGAAATGTGCTGGGCTAGTTTTCTACAGCACAATTCGTTAACAGACTAACCGGCGGCCGTTAACAAGATACAATCACACACTAGGTGCAGTTTCTGTGGGATGCTTCGATGTGTGGCACGTAATGCAGGATGCGGTTAAGTTACTCAGTGGACAAAACAAAGAAAAAAAAGCATCTCGACGGGATAGGATCGTGTGAAAGAACACGCCGATCAAATCCAATTGTAGAATAACTGTGGGAATTGAGGAACCGTTGGAAAGGAATAATGCAGCTATTAATTCATATTCTCTGGCTCAAATGCCATCCAAAAAGAACATATAACGCCAGTCATGACTGAGAACCAAGTAGGCATGCAAAAAGAAGAGCCTTGGAGCTCTAGTGCCAAATTTCATCTATACAGAAACTAAAAAAAAAAAAAAAAGGAGAGAAGAGAACAACGGTGAACCAATTCATGCAGGTCGAACTTGAGGCTTCTTCGCTTTCAAGTCATGCTTGCCACCGACATCATCTCCATCGGCTTCCATCTCCACAATGAAGCGCTCCCAAGTGGCCAGAACACCTTGATAGAAGTCGACGTGTTTCTGTGTCATTGCGCCCAGGGTATCGCGGAACTCGATTGCTTTAATACGCTCAAAGTCGGAAACTTCGCGCACAACTTCTTCATCAAACATCTCAGAAGTTGTTTTGGCGCTTTCAACTTCACGGGTTAATTCATCAATTCGAACCTCCAGTTTTCGGACTTTCTCTCGGCGCGATTGTTCGTGATCAACGCCTCTGATATCCTTCATCTTTGACCTAATGAAAGAAGCAGGGCTGCTTGTTAGTGGGTTTGTGGCGTAGTATGAGGAAGGGTTGTTGGTAAGATTTTCGCGCTCCGCCACGGCTTTGTTGAGGTAGTCAACCAGCGCCTCGTGGTCTAACTGCTTCTGCTCCCTCGTTTTGAGCAGGGTTTTGAGAGATAAGATGTAAGCCTCCATATCACGAAGACTGCCTAGGTAGTTTTGATCTGTATGTTCCTTCAGGGTTTGAATACCATAGGATGTTTCCTCAACGCAACCGGCAAAGATCTGTAGAGGTACCTCTAGCTCAGGTTCTAGAGGGACAAGTTTGCGGAACTGGACGGCAAGGTCAGCGTAGTCAACCTCCAGGTCACTTTCGCGCCTCGCAACCCGCGCAACAATCTTCTCAACGTGGCCAAGATCTTCGTCCAACTTGTCGGCCTTTTCTCTCACTTCCGTGAAGCGTTTATCTGGCTTGTGGACCTTGGTGAATGCATTCACGAAGGTATCTGCAAAATTGTCGAAGATGTTACTCCCGCCGTCAGACGCATTAGTGGCGCTGCGGGTCGGGCGCATCCTCATGTGTTGATTCCATTCTCCGGATTCAAGGAATGTTACCAAGATTGGAGCTCGGCGTAGAACAGGGTGGAGTGTAATTCTCTTGATAAACCGGTGAAGAGACC